ATAGCAGAGCATAGGCCTATCTGCTCTAAGAACACCAACTCCCCACCCGCGGTTTCTTCTCCTGAGGGGCAGTGCGCACTGGCTTTGGACTCAGACCAGAACTCAAATCCTGAGTCCCCTTGGTGAAGCCCCTGTCCCCTCACATGTCCTCCTTTGGACACTGGAAAGGATGCCCTGGGGCCAACTTGACTTAGTCTTTTCCTTACTCTGACTCATGATGACCGAGCCTCTACTGCTGGACACTGTGCCCAGCACCAGGGCCTGTCCCCAGCAGGCTGGCCAGGGGTGCTGGCCAGGCTCATAGGGCCACAGGGCCAGAGGGGGTGAGCTGGATGCTAGGGAACAGTTTATTGTTTTGCAAGTAGGAAGGGGGTAGTGGGCAGCTAGAGGAGGCAAGGCTGCTATGAACAGACCAGATGAATAGCCTCCTCATTTTCATCACCCCCCCTCACCCCACCAGGTCCAGTATCATAACCAGGCTGCTTGGTGTCTAGCCTGAGAAAGCACATACTCCCCCCACTAACAGCAGCCCAAGGCCCTCTGCCACTCCAGGGCCAGAGCTGTCCACCTGCCCCTTACCAGCCCAGGATCATGGTACTAAGGGGCTGGCACGGGCATTTCTGTAGAAATGACCTTGTCTCTCACCTTTTCATTCCATGTTACCCTCAAAACTGAGCTAGAATATCCCATACAGGGAAAGCTTTTCACTCAGTAAATGTTGAAAGGGACCTGGGCCAGGTCTGACACTGGGCACCGGAGATGAAGAGTCAGACACGGTTTTGCCCTCAAGGAGCTTGTGTTTGAACCGGGAAGCAGACAAGTAGACAAACAGTAGATAGCAAAACAAAGCCTGTGGGGACACAAAGAAGGTGGCTGGCCCCATAAAGTCTCCTGGATGCTGAGGACAAGGTAACCAAATGAAAGGAGGGTGGGAACAGAGGATGGGGAGAAACAAAAAATGCAAAAATTGGACAGTTATAAAAAGAAAAAATTGCAGCCTGGAACAGAAAGGATAGGACAATAGGAGCAAAGAGAATGAAGGGCACAGTGGTGAGAGGGAGGCTGGAAAGATCAGCAGGCCATTCACGCATGGCCCCCGGGGTGTGGTCCCTTCCTTGTGGTGGGCATAAGTTGTCCTCGGAGTCAGGAAGCCTGGTCCTGTCCTGCCTGCCACTACTGTCATTGTTTATGGGACATGTGGCCCTGGGAAGACTCCTTTCCCCTCGGGGCCTCCGTCTCCCCACGTGGAGATAGGGACACTAGCCAGACAATTCCCAGGGCCTGGGCAGCCTGGGAATTGTCGAAAGACTCATAGGCTCTTCCTTGGTGCCACAGAGCTGATGGGCTCTTCCTGATCTCTCTGGACAGTCTCGTCCACTCCTGAGAAAGGACCTTCTGGGAACTTAGGCTCCTCCTTCCCATTCTCTATCCATGACAGTCAGGTGGCTGCCTCTACCCCCCACTGTTCTCACCAGAGTCTCCAGTGACCTCCACATTGCCAAATCTAGGTGACACTTCAGGCCCTTTTTTGCTTGACCTTGCAGAGGCACTGGGCTTGGCTAACCCTACACATTTGCTTTAGCTTCTAACACACCACACTCTCCTGGTGTCTTCCCACCGCTCTCACTACTGCACCAGCCTCTCTCTGTCTCACTCCTCCTTTCATCAGGCTGCTCCTCAGGCTTGAGAACACAGGTCCACCCACCACCACCACCCCCAAGACCCCACTGATCTCCCAGCCCCAAGCCTCAGTCTCACCATCCCAGCTGCCCAGGGACCCCCTAGCCCTGGGCTAGGGAGAGACACCCAGTCTTCCAAAAGCCAAAGAGCTTCCCCACAGGCCAGAGAATGATCCCAAATACTGTCGTGCTTTTGCCCTTGTAGCTACAGTTGGAAACACCCAGGAGGGGCGGTCAAGATCCAAACCTGGCGGGATGAGATAAGCTCACCCAAAAGAGCCAGCGTTAGCTGTGGGCACCCGAGTTCCCTTCTTGGCACATCTTTTTTCCTTAATACTAATCACCTTCTGATTTACTATACAATCAACACATTTATGATAGTTGTGTGTGTCCATGTTTATTGTCTCCCTGCTAGAATGTAAGCAACACAAGACCAGAGATCTTTGTTTTCTTTAGTGCTGGATCCTCAGTACCTAGAACAATGCCGGCTCATTGGAGGTGCTCGATAAATACTTGCTAAATGAATGCAAAAAAGGAGGACTGGTACGCCATTGGAAATGCCTGCCCGACCTACTGAGGTCCCTGAAGATCCAACAGTCCATGTGCAGAGGCCTCCCCACACCCAGAGTCCCACCTCCGAATGGCATTCCCATTCCTAAGCCTCCATTCACTACCCCAAAGCCTCAGCCTCCATCCCTGAGCCTCATATGAAACCTGCACCCCCCAATCCTCAAGAGCCAGGCATAAGAGCTGCAGCCTTGATTATCAGGGAAGCTGGGAGCCTCCTTTGGTGAGACTTTAATCTGTCCTGAACCTATGATAAAAGCAACTGTCCAGTCACGGGAGCTAAACCCAACACAGAGTGGAATATCCGTGGGGTAGCCTTGGGTGGAAAATGTGGGTGCACAATGCTGAGACAAGGCCCCCTCTGTGAGGCCTGGCAGAGGGAGAGAGTGAAACCCTCCTGAGGAAGCCTCGGGAGGGGTTGGATTCCCCCTCAGAGGACAGCTGAGTCCTGCAGGTGCCATTTCGGGGGAGGCAGGTTCTTGCCATGCTTTTCCTCTTAAGGTCCCAACTCTCAGGCCTAGGGGTGCAACATGCAAGCACAGAGTCCAGCCCCCTTTGTAAAACTTTTATTTAGAAATCTTCCCAATATATCCTTATATATATACACACATCACCACCACATGGGTTTTGTCGCTAGTCACACGCCCACAGTGTTGGCCTCTGGGCTGTACAAAGGTCAGGTACCTGGAGCGGTTACTCCTCTTCTGCAGAAAAATGCAGAGACCAACGTAATTCATCAACTCATCACGTACAGTACAACATTGACGAAAGTGCTGGGCCCGCCCACAGGAACGCTGCGCTATGTACACGGGCAGGGGCAAGCCTTCGGGGGGCCACGTACCACTGGCACCGCAAGTACGACCAGGCCACCCCCAAAGGCCGAGATAGTTGTCGGCTGACTACAGATTCTGTGCCCTTGGTTTGGTTTTTGGAAAAGGGTAAGGGTTGTACCATCTTGTTTGCCACCACAAATAAAAGAATACACATTTTTCGTGAAAGACGGGAGTCCCTCCAGTCATTTTTGTTCTCATGTTGTTGCTTTTTACCTTTCATGGTTTCCCTTTTGTACAGATATTATTTCTTGGAATGTTGCCATCTCTTCATGGGTGAGGAGGAGGCAGAGGAAGAAGGGCATGGGGGGGAGGGCATGAAAATAAAATATGGATCTTCTCTAGTTCTTACAAAGACCTGAAGCTCTGTGCTCCCCTACCCGGGCCCACTTTAGGTAGTTGCATTATATTTTACATGTTCTGCCCATGCGCCATCTCTCATCCACTCTCACTCCTGTACCTTGCCTTGGAATGAGACAGAAATGAGTCAGTCATGAGAAACGAGAACCATCTAGGTAACTCAGGCAAAGGTGGTTTAGAACCGAAATTACCGAAAGCTGTGTGGTCAGGCAGCCTGTCCCACTGCCTAGGCCCTGGACTCGGGGTGGGAGACCCCACCACAAGACTGCTACTGAGGGCAACGGAGTTCTTTATGGTCTCATAATCCTTTCATGTCCATTCAGTTCACATCATAGCCCTAGGAGATGGGCAAGCCAGGGTGTTGATGAGAAACTGACTCTCAGAGAGAGAACCTGTCCAGGTCACACTGAGTCTGAGGGAAGAGGGAGCCAGAAGCTTGAGTTACTGATTGAATGTGTGACCCATCTCCTAAAGCGCATCCACACGGTGGCCCCAAGTCAATTAATCCACGGGAAGTAAACACAGCCTTAGGACAGGTGCTCCATCTTTACAGATCGGACGTCTCACAGAAGCTTCCAACTTCTGGCAAGGAACCAACCCTAATGTTCATTAAAATATAATTTTGGGGGGCTGACATGGGATGGACAGAGTGCTACAAGGGTCAACCATAGTGCCCCCATCCTCATGAACTGGACAACATAACTTAAAAGGGAGGGGAGCAGGGATCCTTCATTCTTTGCATATGGCTGTACGAGGCCCCGTCACGGTGAGGGCAGGCCCTGCGCTGAAACTGAAAATGTGTGAGGGCCTTTCCTGACAGCTGCAGCATTAGACCTTCCACATGACCAAGGACAGGGAAGGACCACAGACAGGATCGTTCCCCTCGGACCTCAAAGGCAGAGCCTGGTGGGAAATGGCTGGGGTGACTTGAGGGTACAGTAACAGGTACATAGGACTTGTGTGCAGTTTGTTCCATGGGTTTGAAATGCAGGTCACAGGCAGGCCTAGCCTTAAAAAAAACCACATCCCACCACTTGGATTGACACAGGAGATCAACGAGGGGGCAGTGGTCCACTCTACAAAAGGATTCTTCACTTACAAAAAGTACTCGTGGTGGTATTTCTTTAAAAGGTGAAGGATAAGGATTTGATTTACAAAAATGTCATGTACAGCTTTTGAAGGGGGCACTCCTATTGCATGAAGCCAGCCTCCCAATCACATCCGTGATGACGGAAAGCTACACAGTCAAGGGGTGTTTAAGATCCTGCTAAGTGAATGTGCGTATGTCCAGGTATCAGCTAGGGCCTGGTCTCTGACTGCATTCCCCATGTCCTGTAAGTGTGCTGGATCCTGGGTCATATCAAGACCTAAAGATCACACCAATCACTGAAGTCAAGAAAAAAATCCCAAATTCTAGGGGAAAAAATCCCAAATGCCAGAAATTCCTAGGACAGTTTGTACTCAGTTTGGTTCAGAACACCGACCAGACCATTAGCTAACACATCCTGCAGCAGGGTAGGCCCTCTGAGCATCTTGGATAAAGCACAGATGGGGCTCCCACCGACTCTCAGCACCAGCACATGTGCATTAGCACACTGGCCTTTGCTCACTGCTGGAACAGTGATGTGCAGCTGACAATACAGGCAGGTAGCTCTGAGACGCTACCAGGATTTGAAGCCCACGTGCCCCAAATAGCGCTTGCTCAATTTCCTCTACTCATTTTTCCTTTCTCTGCCTTCACACAAAGCCCAGAGGGCATGCTCACAGCTGCAGACTCAGTCCCCACAGCCACAAGGAGTAGGAAGGCAAATTTCAGTGGGGAGAAAGCAAAGTTTCGGTCCCCAGGGCAAGAAGTAAGGGCTACTGGGTTTTTTGCCCCTCTGGCCCAGCTAGTTGAGAGCAGGTGGTCCACCGGCCGTCTTCTTCAACCAGGCCCTGAAGAAGGCACCTCGAGGCTTGTGACTCTGCAGCTGTTGGCAAGCTGGATGGACGGACCAACACGGGCCTGGGTGAGGATGGGGCTCAAGAAACGGGCAGCTACTGGGTACCTATAGATTTGCATAGAGTGGCTACAAAAGCCACCCCGGCCAGCTTGGGAGGGGCTAAAGGCAAGGCAAAGGCTGCTGAATGCCTCAGGTGAGAGCTGACAAGCCCAGGTCTCAGCAAAGACAGGGCTCCCAAGCTCTAGGCCAAAAGCAGTGCCACTCAAGCCTCTTACTTGAGAAGTCTTAAGGATTTGGGGGAGGGGGAAGACCGTGCCGTCTTCATAAAAAGTACCTACCACTTTGCTCCATTTTTCTGTTCTCCTACTGAGGCAGGAAATGAGAAAGCCAGCCCCAAGGGCAGTTTGGGCTTCCCAAAGTTCAGGCATCAAGGAAAGCTCATCAAGTCCACTGCCCTACTTCAGAGCTGCCCAGTCTTCACCCACCTGCCCGAAGCCCACAGTCCCAGCGGCCTGAGGGCACCCTCCTGGCTGGCCCAGGATGGTGCCAGACCCATCACCGAGGGCCTGCTCCATCAGCAGTGGGCAGCATGGCTGGATGGAGGCTGCGGGCTGTGTGCTTGGGTACAGGCTCTTCTGTGTAGCTGTCTGGGCTGGCTGCCCCATCCAAGGAGCTGCCACAGCTGGAGTTGGGGGACAGCACATCTTGCAGGAGGTCGTCTGGAGGTGCACCACCCCCTCCTCCC